GTTTTGGGTTTGATCAGCATATAAATGTTTTAGAGACCTTTGAGATGAAGATGTTTATATTAAGACTGTATCATAATTACTTGTGTAAAGTATTTATATGACCCTTGCAATTCAGTATCAAGTTATGTCCGTTTTTTTTTTTTTTGCGCAATGCTTTCAGAACCTAGACGTTGTAAATACTAATTTATTTGTTTACACTGACAAAATTTGACTATTGCAGAAATAAAGATTTTAAAAAGTACATTTTATTGCTGCGCTTCTAGACATCCATAATGCAATTTCATGCCTATGTCATTTTTTTACTTGATAGAAGTGTTTTTCAAATGTGAGAATGAGTGTGCTAATGTTTCGTTTTGTTTTTGTCCTGTGATGCCACACTGCATTTGTTACATTTAACACAGATTTGCTGGTCTTGAACCACTTTTTCATTTAGTTTCTTATGTTTTGTCTGTTTACTAAAGAAACTGTCATGGAGAACACAAGACGTAATAGGACGAACAGTTCTGTTTGTATCAGAGAAACAAAGACTCTCATACATAAGAGATTGTCATGCATCGTCCAGATTTTTGAGCCTGAACATTCATCTGTTTTGTCTTTCTTTTGCTTGTTAAATTATTTTATTTTCATAACCATTTTTATATTTTGTAAAAAGTGCAATGCCTTGGATTTTTATGCCACATCCCCAGAAAACCTTGTAAAGTTTTCTAATGTTATTCTCACAGTTGTCACAGGTTTTTCTTTAATAAAAGGTTTAGACAGTTTTTCATTTGGACTGGTGTTTCGGAGAAGTTCCAAATACTATAATGGGATGTATGACTGTTTTTAGAGATGTCTATCAGATCATTTATGTGGCTTCCATAAACCCTGCATCATGTCTTTCCTTCAATAAACAACTGTTTTATCTGTTCATGCACAAGTGACCTGAAAGTACTGGAACATGGGCCTATATTCACTTTCCTCCAAAGCTCACTTGAATTTGTTTTAGATCAGTACATGTGATTTTATGCCTTGGTAAAGTATGCACAGCCATTAGTTCAATGATGACATGAATGTTTTTGGGTGAGCTATCTCTTTAACAAGTCTTTTGTATACAAATAGTGCTACAAGGGTGACATTCATAAGTCTTTTGTAGGCCAAAACCCAGAAACCAGGTCGCATTTCAGCACTTCTGGTTCTGTCGTCTTGAAGTCAGTGTTTTTTTTTATTGGTTTTTGCTTGAAATAAGGCCTGTGGTTAACACAACTCAATCTTCACATTTTATTCTGCAACATAAAATACATCAGATTGTGATTTTTACATTTCATCACACCCAACAGGAACACTCATCTACTTGCTAGTCAACTTTTACAGCTTCATTATGTTTATAATCGCTGTCTTGCTAACTCAAACTTTCAGGTAAAGGATTTTTTAAATAAACATTCTAATTACTCATTTGTTTTCCAATTTATAGTTTTGTTTTAATATTTTTTGTTTTATTTTTGCACTGAAATGTAAAAAAAAATTACATTTTAAATTTTAAAAATTACAATAAACTTTTTTTTTTTTTATTTAATACATTTTAATATAATATAATAAAGCAATAAGCCCCAAGAAGCCGTGATTTACAGTGAATTTATAACAGCTGAAGCGGAGTAAAACCTCCGTAAAACCTCTACGGCTGCTTTTATAAAACGGTTATTCCATATACGTAGTTAGGTTTCACAAAATAAAACAGACCAAATAAAGTGTAATGATATTAATAAAAACAGTATTCTTCCACCAAACAATGTAGCTCCTCAGAAACAGTTGTGGTTGCAGCAAAGTGGTTGCCAAGCAACACACAAAGTAAACAAAGGTGTATGTTTGTAGAGTAATTTACAACACGGCTCAGCCAATCAGAATCAAGGACCAGAACTATCCGTTTTATAATTTGATATAATACAACATTTGCTTTTGGCCCATGGCCCTCAATCGAGTTTGATTTTTGGCTCTTCGTATTAGTACTAGTAGTAATGTACATTTAAATACTGTGCATACTTACATTAATACACAATTAAACACTGACTGTTGCATCAACAATATGATGATATTCTAGCAATGATTTCCCACATTCGCCAACAAGGTCTTAAGTGGCAGTAGGGTGACAAACGGAAAGCATAAAATCTTCAACAATATTCCAGTGATACCCAAAGACTCCAAACAAAGAGCACTGTTGTGCAAACGTCCCACAATAGCATATGAGAACCTAGTTGAAAATGTTTAATTTGCAATGAAATGACAAAAGCCAGGCATTAACCAGCTACATCCTTTCCCATGGTTTACATTGTAGTTGCATGCGCTAGCAATTTGTAAACCTCATCACAAATTTTGATCCCTTCTGCTTACATTTGAAAGGTTCCAAGTCTTTTGTGATCTCCAGCAGGCACACTTTTAAAGTCTGCTTCAAAACACAAACTGACATTTGGGACTTGCAGCTGCTTTAGAGTCGAAGCCAAGATACCATTGATATCTTGTAAATGCGTTTGGCCAAAGAGACGTAAATATGCGCATTTTAACAAGCCAGAAACACTAACTTTAAGAGATAAACAAGTTAAGAGACTACTGTCATTCCCAACTACTGCTGTTAAAACCAAATGAATAGGGCACCAGGCCAGGATCTTTAATTATGCCAGTCCTCAAAAGTTAAAGTCTTTTACAGTACCCGGGTTCCCTCATGGACCTTAAGTGAGACATTGCCAGGTTCTTTTCCAGAAACAACTGTTCTTTTACAAAACAACTTCCAACATATGGTAGAAATTAACTCTTGCATTTTAAATCTTCCTCTTGCACACGTTTCACACACTCCGTTCTATAATCTTAAACTGTCTCATTCGGTTTGCAGCCTTGTTCATGTGTTTAGCACTACATACAGTCAAATACAGTGGAAGACCTGCACCAAATGTTGCTTTCTATGAGCAATAATCCACACGTGGGCTTCATTTGGTAAACATTAAGGTAAATTCTTCTTAAATTTGACCTGACTGTGAATTTTCTCAGTGACTGACGTTAAAGTTAGCAAGTGCTGTCAACCAAATAAATGTTAACAAGTGGCCGAGCACCACAGGCACATAACTTATCAGAGCCATGCAGTTTAGCATGGAAACAAAAACAATGAAATGATTACAAGTTTCTGCAAGGGAACAGATACAGCTAGATGAAAATCCTGAATAAATTATACTGCACTCTGCACAATAACAGGGCAAAAACAATTCATTTAATAGCAATCCACAAGTCATAAAGAATATCGCATGGTAGGCTATCTGCAATCCTTCATTCTGATTGGTCAATAGCAGATGTCAGATTCTAATATTATGATATTCATAATATATATTCATTGTTGTCTATGGAAGTACATCACATGTCTTTCGTATCACATCACACGCTCCTTCTCATATTTTTCACAAATATAGTACTGCCGCCTTTTTGCGTATCGGTTATCAGTTGCAGACGTCTTCAGAGATAATATTATATTGCCATTATATTGTTGCAATGTTCGTCTTGTTACTATGACGATTATTTTGTACATTGCAATGGACTGTTTGGAACATTAGGCTACGTCCACACGAAGCCAGAGCTTTCCCTATCCGATCTTATACATTTATTAATCTGTGTCAATGTTAGTTAATAAAAAGACAATCGTTCAGTGTTTGTTCATGTTTTTGTTGCTGTTACGTGACGTAGCGGTGTCTGACTAGGGGCGAGACGTGGGCTGATGACTGTCCACACGAAAACGCAAGGGCGGCGTTTTCAGATTTATCCACTCGGGTCCCGGTTTAAAAAAATATCGGTTTCACTCTCCCAAAACGCCGGATCCGTCTGGACGAAACGCCTATACGATACAAAATGTATGCGTATACAGCTAAACGCGTCTCCGTGTGGACGGTAAGCTAAGGTAATATACAGGTAAAAATATACATGACCATAATAGTTCAAAAGCATAATAGGGTAGAACGTGAATGCAAACGCACTCATTCACAGGGTTGTGGGAAAAGTAAGTGAACTTTACCTTGTTGTCGTTACCAGGATGATCCACAACTGTTTTTTGTTCTGTAAAGAATTTCATGAGTTGTTCATGAGTCCCAGTTAAACTGTCAATTGTTCTTCAGAACCTGCACATTCAACCCTTTACAACAGTGACTGAATGATTTTGAGATTAATCTTTTCACATTAAGAACAACTAATGAACTCACAACTATTAAAGATGGTGAAAACATTCACCGATGCTCAAGAATGAAACAAGGGGGTGTAAACTTTTTGAACAGGATGATGATTGATGTGTAGTTTTGCCTCATTTTGTTAAAATATCATATTCTTTCATTTAGTACTGCCCTTCAGAATCTACAGATGCATGTTTCTGAGAAGACAAAATAAGTACATTTTACCCTAGTAAATAATAGATTTTTTGTGTGCTTGTTTGGCAAATAGCCAAGTATTAAGTGGGATAATTCGCTATTGCAGTTATTGGAAAATAAACCCCAACTGGATGAGCTGCATGTCGACACAGAGCTAAACTGTCCCTTACATGCTTTATATAAGCTATTATTTGCATACAAAGATGTGATGGATGGTTGTGTCTGATGGCCAATTATAGCTGTGATTCATTTTCCACAGCCAATGTCTTATTGGCTCTGGATCTGTTTTGTAAGCCTGCACTCTCTTGTATGGCTGTCATTAAATACAGCTGTCAGATGATATATTCACACTTCTGCTCCCCCGTGGCGCATGTCTGCATTGCGATGGAGGTGTATGAAAAGTTAAGATACAGGCCTGTGCTGATTTGCAGGAAAAAAAAAACACTACTTGTGCTACCATTGAAGTATAATTTACACTTTTTTTCTTAAGCTATAGAAACCATCTTGATATGATGTCAGCCAAGTTCTTCAGTTATGTTGTTACAGAAAAAGGGCATTTCATTATGACTTACAACAGGATGGGTAAATATTGTGTTCATGCTTGACATTGCTGGTTGAGTTTCAGTTTACCTTCAGAAATATTTGCTTGTCTGGTTGCAGGGTTCAAAGAGCTGCCCAAACAGCAAAGGTCGGAATGGCAAGGGTGTTTGGTGTTCTGGAGAATCGCATGTGAATGTGAAAACAGTAAGTAGTTTCCATTAAACCAGGTTGGAAGTTCAGCATCCTGTAAGGCAAGTAAAAAGGCTTTGAGCTCCTAACATAAACCAGCACCTTTATGATACAGACACTCGTGACTGCTTGAGTTAACAGCTGAAATCTCTGCCGTAGCTTCTCGGTAACATAAAATGTAAGAGTTTATCTTTGACATTCAGGTTTGTACATGGGCTCAGGGTGCAAAAATGTCTTGTACTGACTCCACTCACCCGTTGACATTATCAGGTTCACAATGAGTACAGCCCAGTTATAATTCTAATAATGAATCAATGAATAGCAGGTCATGCTCTGTGGAAAGAACAGAACTCCATAGATGTTCATAAATTAATAATCCAAAGGTGTGGCATGCCAAATCCCTAGTTTTTCCAGAACTTAATGGTTCTCCAACTGCTGAGGGTGTGTGCCTTTACAGCACAGAAGCCAGACCTCCCACTTTGTCTAAACCACAGTTTTATATACGGCCTGCTGCTAGACACAATTTTCAGAGTTCCCCCACTGTTTGCTGTTGCCATTTAAGCATTAAATATCTTTTATACTCTTATCGCTAATGGTTGACAATATATGGTTGGTTCACTTTATAATTCAAGCTGAATCAATCCACTGTCTGAAGAACAGACAGACAGTGAGTAAATTATGACAGAATTTTAATTTTTGGGTGGACTATACCAATTCTCTGAACTATAGCACACTAGTTCAGAGAATTAGAGGACACTGAATAAAGAACATCAGTGGTTGCAGATAGATGAATAAAGCAAAACTGCAAGTATACAGAAGCAAGTATATCATCTGTACAATGGCGACCTCTACTGGAAAGTATTCCTCTGTTACGACATTAAATGGCTTAATGTGTTACTAAAAAAAAATGTAATGGAAAATACAATATATAGATTTTATTTTAATAGAATATAAAAATATATAGAATATAATACTTAAAATAACAATATAGCCTACTTATATTAATAATGTTTTATTTTATTAACAATAATTAATAATAAGAAGAATAC